GGCCCACTGTGAGCGGACAGTGGCGTCGGCATCAGCAGCAGGGGCAGGAGAGGCACCAGAGGTGAGGTCAAAGAGGGAGAGACCGTCTGCCCTATCGCACTGTAACAAAAGCTGCAGGTCATCTACCCAGACGTCAAAGTCAATGGCCCGACCCTCAGCGTCAAAGGCGAGGACACTAGGGGTAGCCATGACTGCAGTAGACTAGCAGTGTGAACAGTAGGGTAAGGGCAGTGCAGTGATAGAGGCGCTGCTCTTGCAGGACGGCGGCTCGGGCGGCTCGGCGGCTCGGGCGGCTCGGGCGGCTCGGCAACTCGGCGGCCCGGGCGGTTCGGCGGTCGGCTGCTGGGCGGCTCGGCGGCTCGGCGGCTCGGCTGCTCGGCTGCAGGACGGCTCAGCGGCTCGGGTGCTCGGCTGCTGGGCGGCTCGGCGGCTGGTGTGGTTGGTGACGACCGCGGCAGCAGTCGCAGAAGCTGTGGCGACTGCTGCTGCAGAGACGGCTGCGGCTGCTGCCTCAGGGACGGCGGCTGCCGGCCGCTAGGGGCCGCGAAGAGCGGCGGAGAGGCCGTGAAGAGCGCCACGAGGGGCCGTCGAGGGAGGCGACAGGCCGTGAGAAGGCCGCGGAAGGCGGCTCGATGGGCCGCGAGGGGGGGGGCGTAAGGGGCCGACTGGCGACGGGAGGGGCCGAAGGGGCCGCGGGAGGGCTCGTAAGGGTAGCGCGAGGGGCCGTAAGGGCGGCACGAGGGGCCTTAAGGGCGGCACGAGGGGCCGTGAGGGCGGCGCGACGGGCGCGACGGGCCGTAAGGGCGGCGCGACGGGCCGTAAGGGCGGCACGAGGGGCCGTGAGGGCGGCGCGACGGGCGCGACGGGCCGTAAGGGCGGCGCGACGGGCCGTAAGGGCGGCGCGACGAGCCGTAAGGGCGGCGCTAGGGAGCCGTGAGAGGGCCGCTAAGGGCGACGCGACGGGGCCGTGAGGGGCCTAGCGAGGGCGCGACGGTAGGGAGAGCACACAGGGTGCGACTCGGGCCGGAGCGAAGCGCGCTCCCGGGCAGAAAAAAAAATTCCGTGGTGGTGGGCCCTAGGAATCGTTCCCACTAGGGAACCTGCTCGATACCATGAGAAGAAACGAGGAAAAATGAATGACTAAGGGAAAGTTGAGTACAAATGTAAACCCTAGAAAGCTGTACCCCATATGTGCTACCCCACTATAGCCTACAGTAGCTATGTCATATAAATCTGACACTAGGTCCTCAGTGGACTCCCTACAAAGCCCTGCTCCGTCAGCAGGGCATTACACCAGAAGCGCATCTCTGTGCTACTTTACTGCACGAGCAGCAGGACATGGATTTCAACAAAGAAAAGGGACACGCTGCGATCAAATCGCCTTCTACTCTTATCGCAACCAACGACGGAATCGCGATTCACGCCCACGCCAATACTACTGCAAAAATTGCATCTTTCGCCACTCCACAGAACGCTGTCGATCCGGACCACGACACGATTCCGTGCCGCGCAACAACTACTCTGCCTGCGGTCCAGATCACACGAGCCAGGCCAACCGACCGTCTTCGTACCATCGGTTCACTCCGCGCCAACCTCCGCAGCCTGACTCACAAAGGCCACTGACGCAAAACAACAACACCGTTCGTCATGTCATGGGCGATATGGCGATGCATGTTCACTGCCGCACTCGGCGCACCAATTGGAGGCATCTCCGATACGTCCCCCCCCCCCCCCCTCCAGGACAAGAAGTCCACTTCAACAACTACAACAACCCATTCACACAGGACGGGGAGTTCGTATCTGTCGAACATGAGCAAGACTGGGACCTGCCGACTCGCCTGCTCGAATCGCCACCGCTCAACTCGCTGACCATCACCAACTACTACTTTGGACATTACATCGACACTCGCCCTGTCGACAACCATCGCGCTGCTGGCGACAAGCGCATACCGTTCCGCAACACCCCAAATCTCGCACTCCCGGCGCAACACCGCACCGACTCTTCCAACACATGGTACCTCGACAGCTGCTGCGGGCAGCACATGGTGGGCTCTAAGCGCTTCATTTCCAACGCTCGAACCATTCCGGAACATACCATCGTCACTGTCGCAAACAACCAGCAGCTTGCCACACGCGTATGCGGCATCGTCGTTCTCAAAGCACATGACAGCGACATACACACCACGCTCAACGACGTGCTGAACAACTCGTCAACAGCAGGCAGTGCAATGAGTCAACGGGCAATAAAAAACAAAAAAAACCCCAGTCAAAATGCATGCTATCTCGGGAGGCATCAACACTAAAATCTTAGGGTTGATGCCTCCCGAATGGCATGCAGTCCGATTGGGTTTTATGTTTTTTGCCCGCGGTCAGCATGCTGACTCACTCGGTAGCGTCGTATAGCGAAATGGTAGCGCTACCGAGCGCTACCGAGCGCTACCGACGCTACTGAGTGAGATGTATCGGAAATGAAGTTGCCGCACAGTTCATGCTATGGAAAATTGTGATGCCTGTCACCCAAGACAGCTGAATTGCCATGAGATGGCAGCGCGATCGGCCATCCGGGAAAACCAGAAACAAACCGCGCTGGAAATAATAAAACAACTACAGGCGCCCTTGTAGTAACCAATTGCCAACTTGAATCCCTAAACGCCTTTTGAGCTAAATTTAGTTTTCTGAACGATTTTTACCCTGGTGTAGCCCAGCTGGCTTCAGAAATTTGTTCCCTGCACTGGACGAAACTAGTACCCATCCACATAGGGTCACCTGCATTCCCGTCTGTTGTAAGCGTAGTTCGCCGCAGTTGTGTGTTCGTATGTTATTCATACGCATGTTATCCCGTTTAAAATCGCCCAAACCAAAAATAAGCATGTTATTCTTGGCATTCAGCGAGCCTCGTGCCCCCGCTTTCCTAAGCCGAGTTGACAAAATGCTCATTTCGGTAGGGTGGTCTGGGCGCCAGTGGAAGTTTCTGTTTCCGCTGTTTCCGCTGCCATGCTGATGCCACCTGCCTGGAGAATACTGAAGGTCAGATGGTTTGGCGAATACTGAACCCCCACGCCGACATCCAATCCAAACCAACAACCATCTGCAGGATGGTGTTGGATGTGAAATTGCAGCAAGGATGGGAGGGACGAAGGGATAGAAGGTCGGTTAGGAAGGGGAGGGGGAGATGGAGGGGGAGGAGATTTGGGGGGGGGGGGATGGTTACGACAATGAAATGTACACATTTCATTGCCGGAGCGAGGCCTGCGAACATCCGATGATCCAGGTTCGGTTCCCCTTCTTATCACCTGCCCGGTTATGTCATTACTTCATTGATCTCCTTACAGAGATTCCAGATTCGCCTTCTTCCTCCCCTCCCCAGAACCAGGAATTGATAATTATCGACTTTCTCTCCATTCTGCCCGCTTCGTTCTTCTTTCCCCTCCTTCCTTCGACCTGGTGCTTCTAGCAGCCACTACACCGCATCATCCTTCTCCCCCTCCACTCGCCATGTCAGGTCCTGTATTACTGTAGTAACCAACTGTAACGAGCACATTGGACAACACAGTCCCCTCTCCCCTCCGCTCCCTTCATTCCCCCCCAGAGCCCAGACGGATTCCGCAGGCCCACACTTCCACACAACTCCCACGCTACAGTGCGTCTGCATGGACGGTGGTCCTTGCTCACCATATGACTGGCTCGTCATCCCAACAACGGCGACACGAATGCTTAGGCACGAGCGTGATTTGAGCGCGACTTCAGCGACATGACTCACACTTACAAAATCGTGCGTCATTACTCGTGCCACAAATAATGCCCATGCCCAGCTGACATATGTAACTGATCCAAGCCACACGCTAAATCTGTACAGTTCGTAGAGCACATCAATAGTGAACACTTTTCTGTTCTAACCCTACCCAATCGTTCTCAAAGATCTTGAGCCGCTCTGACACGCAAAATATCTCACCCCACCGCATCGAAGTGGAATTCTGGCACGACCTTCAGTTTCACCGTGTATGCACAGTGTGAGTGACGCTGCGACGACAAGCTTGAGTCGAGTCGAGTCGAGATTTGACATGGAGCCAAGAATTGTCCGTTTGGGGTCCGCAGAATGTCGGCCAACGAAATCCCACATCAATCAAAGCTCCCCGAATCACGCAGCAACATTTCACTACAGGCAGAGCGCCCGTGTAGCATCGAGACGAAGGACGAATATGGCGGCGGGCGGCGCCGGCAAGGCTCCTGGTGGGTGCTTTGGTCCCAATAACGAGAATCACTTGTGATTGGAAGCTGGAATCGCAGGGGAGAAGAGCATCGCAGGGCAGTAGACTTATCTGGCGGGAAATCTACGTGGCGGATGACAAGGCTCGTGCCCTCATCCTGCCTTGTCCGATCACTTGTCATGAGCATTACACAGCCGCCATGGCATGCATTCTTTGAAGGAATGTATGCCATCATATATCTTCGGGCAAATTCAACACAAAGCAAGCAGCCACTCCATTTTCTTGCACGAACTTCAGTAGTGCTATACATCTAGCCAGCACTCGGTCCGCGCCGCTGTGAAGCTTTCCTTACCTCGCATTCACACTATCTCGGCATACCGCCTGCTGCTCTGCACCTTGTGCGCTAAGCAAGCGACCAAGTGCTATCATGGCGATCCAGTTGAAGCAATGGATGAAGTTCAAGCCGCCTATGGCTCTGGCGGGTTGTGCTGTCGCGGAGCTCGTCGGGACTATGTTCTTCGTATTCCTCGGCGCCCTCTCGGTCTCCGTTTCCAGTAAGCCGCTTCTTGGAGTCTTTCTCCTATCCACATTTGTCGCTCGCGTTCGTTCGTCGTGTACACATTCGATACTGAATTGGAATTGCTGTGGGTAAACCAAGCGCACTACAAACATACGTATCATCGTCCAAAGTCGCGGTCTTCGGTCTTCCCTATAAACGCGTACATTTCGAATCTCCTTTTTTGTTTTTAACATTATTTTATTTATACTTCCTGTTCTTTATTCATTCTGCAGGTCCGTTTGGCAAGACTGAGCCTTTGACTCGCGTTATCGTCATCGCTTTGGGTTATGGCATTGGCTTGGCTCTCGCTGTCTGTGCAACCGCCGGCGTTTCCGGCGGCCACATCAACCCGGCCGTCACACTCTCCCTGCTAGCCGTCGGTCTCACCGACGTGTTGTCCGCCGCCGTTTACATCGTTGCGCAGATTCTCGGAGCCATTTTCGGTGCGGGACTTGCCAAGGCCATCGTGCCTTCTGAAATCAAAGTACGTTCTTCGCACTCCAGCACTGTGACATGATTTCTTTATTTCTTTCTTCGCAATGGCGTGCATTGCATTACAGTTTTGTTGTGAAATCGTGGGACTTCCTAGAAACTTCCCCGAACCATTCCCTGATTTTTGCGAAATCGTGGCATTTCACACTCCGGTCCCCCTTCTCCCCCTCCTAATTTCCCACAGGGAATTCTCGGACAAACGTCGCTGGGTCCGGGAGTTACAGTCGGCATGGGTTTTCTCACGGAGCTGCTCCTCACCGCGATTCTCGTCTACACCATTTTCGCCTGCGCCGTCGATCCCAGGGGGCCCGCTGCGCTCGCACCCCTTATGATTGGCATTTCCGTTCTTATCGACAACGTCGTGGGTGTGCCTCTGACGGGGGCGTCGATGAACCCTGCGCGTTCGTTTGGCCCATCCGTGTGGACGGGCGACTGGGCGGACCAGTGGATTTATTGGTTCGGCCCGATAATCGGTGCGCTCCTTGTGGCAATTCCGTACACGGCTATTTACTTGATGCCTCTCGCCAACAAGGGCGACGACGAGGGTGAAACCAAGGACGATGTTTAGAGCGTGGTGTGACTTGCGCGACGCGGATTTGCGGGCAATGGTGAGTGCTCCATGGCCACATGGGTTTCGGATGTAGGATTAGGGGCTGCGTTCAGTTGGCAGGGCGTGTTCGTAATTCAAGTTCCTTTGTGCGTCCAATTTGAAACTGAGAAAGTAGCAAATGTGTCCAATTCTGTTGTGGTAGTCTGGGATTTGCTCCGAGATGACATGCTAAAAATGGCTATTGATATGCCGGTTTATTGTGTTTGGCTGGTTATGGTAATAATTTACTTATTTATCCTTATTTATCAGCATTCCTGGAATTGAATGCTTACGCGCTTCAGGGTTGGTTGTCAATTAGCTAAGCCAGCCAGGAAGGTTCAAATTCACTGCTAGGGCCAACAGTCCCTAAACCTACTTGGCCCTCGGTGACATGCTAGTCACCTGGGGACACATGCCCTCCATATTATTATAATTTTTAAACACACAGTGTTTTTTCAAAATTGTGTATTGTGAAAGCGAAGCTGCTTGTATTGCACAATTGGCATCGTCGAAGCGCGCTAAACACCCTTCTCCAACTACAAAAACCGTGGGTTGGAGTTGATTTCCCTCCACCCACGTTTCTCTTTTTTCAAACGGCTCACTCAACATTTCCGCTCACGTAGTTTATCCCTCCGTCCAAGCTGGCTAGGACAAAATCGCTTCCTAGAGGCGAGTCACCCTCGACTTTACTCAGCGACATTTTTAACTTCAATCGCTCAACGATGGCACCGACGCCGACACTTAACAACGGGAACTCGTCCAACCCCGCTTCCGACTCCGACCGTAACATTCGCGATTTGGCGGGCGAACGCCGTAACAAGCGACGGGCAGAGGATGGACCGCCCGCCCCGACTGCAGTGGACGTGCTGCTGGGCGGGCTCGAGGTCAACAAAGGGAGCAACGCCCAGCAGCACCCTTCGGCGCCTGTGACGCCAGTGGCGCCAGTGGCACCTGCGGCGCAAGTGGCGACGGGTGCTGGCGCGGCACACGCCACTGAGGTCGAGCACACGCCAGCACCCGCGGCTGGACCGTCGCGTCAGCGCCAGAGGAGGCGGACGGCGGTCTCCTCGTCTGACGCGACGACCGCCCTTGCGTTGACGCAGGCGTTGACCCCGGACCAGATCAACGCGCTGCTATCCCTTCTACAGCAGCAGCCCGTCAGCGTTACAGCCGCGGAAACTGCACTACCGGCTGCATCTGCGTCGGCTAAAAAAGAAAATGCGAAAAGGGAAAAAGGCACGCGAGGAGCAAGGACGAATCGGCACGACAACGACGCATCGACAGCATCGCCCCCTGCTCCAGCGGCCGACAATGACACCGACGACTCTGAAGATGAAGCCGGTGAGGCTCCAGTCAACAATGTTAATTTTAATGTCACGGAACACCTTCCCCCCCTCCCTTCTTCTAACCTCACATTTTCGGCGGCAACATTCGTCAACGACTCCGTGCGAGAGCAAGCGGAGCTGCTGGAGGACTTGCGCGCGTACCTGCTGCACGCGGAATACAAGGCGCAGCGCGGGGACCCGGCGGGAGGACTCGAACTCATCTCGCACGCTCTTAACCTCATCTCGGGGCGTTTCGAGGTGCTTCAAGTGGAGGACGCCTCCGACTTCCGCACGGCGAAGCGCTTCAAGTTGTACCAGCAGAAGAGCATGCTGACTTCTCGACCCTTCAAGCAGGCGGTCGCGGACATGGCGGCGATGGACCGGGCGGCAAGCGGATACGCTCGTGTCAACCGCGGCGGAAACAACGCGCCGATGCCGTTCTTACCCAAGCGGGGCCCCCCCGCCCACGGCCAATTGCCGTGGGTTTCGGGGCTCGTGCTTCCGTTGCGGCCAGCCGGGCCACGTGGCAAGTGCCTGCCCTAGGAACGGGCATGGCGGCCAAGGATCTGCTCCGGTGGTGTAGGAGCGGGCCATGGCACTAGGCGCTTGCGCGCTAGGCACGGTACACTCTTGAGTGCGAAAACCGTGGGCAACCCTAGGGGTTTGCGATGGCAAGAGGCCAGCCCTAGTGAAGGGTAGAAATAGGCTTTGGGCCTAGGATAGGGAAGGGGAACAACAACCCCCTCGGTCCCATGAAGTTGGCCACTCGGTGGCGTGATGCATGCTAGGAAAGCATTGCTATGTGTGTTGGTTGATTAATAAATAACTCCTTCTCAAAGGCCCACTGATTTTGGCAAAGTCCCTCTAAAAAATCAAGAGGAGGTGCATAGCAAGAGAGAGAGAGAGAGAGAGAGAGAGAGAGAGAGAGAGAGAGAGAAAGAGAGAGAGTGTGTGTATGTGTGTGTGTGTGAGAGAGAGAGAGAGAGAGAGAGAGAGAGAGTGAGAGAGAACGAGATATAGCATGGTGGACAAACATGTCCATGGTCCCAAGCATCAGCCTTCATGAACTAAAGAGCAAGGGAAAGAATGTGAGAGAGAAAGAGAGAGAGAGAGAGAGAGAGAGAGAGAGAGAGAGAGAGAGAGAGAGAGAGAGAGAGAGAGTGAGAACGAGATATAACGAGATCACGCACAAAGGACAAGTGTGTCCATGCTCCTAGGCATCAACCTCCAATGATCGAAGGGCATGTCCTATCAATTGGACGAGGAGGCGAGGCAAAAAAAAAAAAAAAAAAAAAAGGAGGAGGTTTTTTGCGAGGAGAGAAACAAGAAGCGCCGGCGTGTACCCGACATACTCGTTGACATTTCGATAGATTGTCGATGCTGTTCACATCTTGATAAATGGTTGCTCGTACATGCACACGGATGCTTTGAAATGAAACACCCAATGATCACCCCATTTTGCCTCCACTACACAGGAGCACGACGGTGTGAGGTGGTATGCTACGACGATCCGTATGAATTCGCCGTTACGGACAAAACTATTACACAGATGCGAGGTCGGGTTCGTGCGACCTTTGCGTGGTGGAGTTCATGGTGCCCCTGTAGCCTTGTCCTCTCCGTCATCGCCAAGGGCTACTGGCTGCCATGGAGCCACGGCCCACCACAGCCCTTCCACGATCGCAACCATGTCGGGGCGAACACGCATGCCACGTTCACACGTACCGCCATCCAAGAACTTATAGAGACCGGAGCAGCAGCCCCGATGCCCGCAACGGAGCTTACGTGCATAAGTCCACTAAACGTGGTCGAGCAAAAAGACAAATGCAGACTCATCCTTGACCTGAGGAAAGTCAATGCCAACTTGATTGTCCCCAAGTTCAAGTACGAGGGGCTCAGCCGTGTGGCCGACCTGGCACGCGTTGGGGACTGGATGTTCTCCATCGACCTCAAGTCTGGATACCACCACATCGACATCCACCCATCATGCTAGAAGTTCCTTGGCTTCGAATTCGACAAGCGCACATACGCATTCCGTTCACTGCCATTTGGCCTCGCGACAGCTCCATTCGTTTTCACGCAGCTGATCAAACAGCTAGCTCGGCGTTGGCGAGAACAAGGCATCAGAGTCATACCTTACGTGGACGACATTTTATTTCTATGTCAGTCGAAAGCCCATGCGCAAGCAATCTGCCAGCGGGTGATATTGGACCTTAAAGAGGCAGGTTTTGTGATAAACGCGAAGAAATCACAGCTGTCACCATCACAACGCCTCCGATTCTTGGGTGTAGAACTTGAGACAGACACTCGCCGATTCTCCATCGGTCCCGACCGACGAGCCTCGTTACATTCAACCATCCAGAACCTCCTGAGCGCAAGCAATGCGTGCCGACCAGTCCCGGTCCGCCACATGGCCAGAACACAGGCATGCTCGCATCAATGGGTGTCGCACTCGGCGCGACCGCTCGTGCATTCAGCCACGCCATGTTACAAGTGATCAACGATGCACCGTCATGGAAAAGCAGCGTGGTCATTCCCCCATCCACAGCAGCGGAGCTACACTTTTGGCTTGAGGAGTTTGACCGGTTCAACGGCGCACCTTTTCACGTCCGGAACAGCTACGATGCAGTAATCCATGTGGATGCCAGCTCTCACGGTTGGGGCGCCACTCTGACCACATTCTCTGGTGGCCGTGAAGAAGCTAGCACAACCATGTCAGAGCCGCTACGAGCAACGTCTAGCACGCGGCGGGAGATCGAAGGCGTCCTTTGGGCGCTCCAAACGTACGCCAACAAGATCAAGCAGAAACACGTTCTCGTGCGTGTGGACAACCAGGGCGTATTCTTCATCCTTCGCAAAGGCGGCTCTCGTAGCCCCGACCTCACAACGGCCTGCAAGAGCATCATCCGTACATGCATGGAGCTCGGCACGCGCTTGATCATCGAATGGATTCCGCGCGAGCTCAACTCACACGCCGACGAGCTTTCAAAAATGGTCGACCACGATGATTACGCATTGAAAACGCCGTGGTTCCGCATCTTAGAACGTCGTTGGGGTCCCCACTCCATCGACCTCTTTGCC